CACATATCTACAACTGTATGGGAAAACTGAGATACCTGTCTTTTCAGTTACGCAAACTCAGGCAATTCCGAACCCCACAGTCAGTCCTGTCATCCTTCGTTCATCAATGCGCTTTACCCATTCTACTCTATTAATCCCCTGTAGTGTTTCCCGGTCTTTTAAAACAAGACTTCAAAACAATTCGCCGTGGTTTGGTGATCATCAATCGTGTATCATTAATTCCAATCGATTCATTAATCACAGATCTCATTGATGGTCACATCAACTCTTGTTTTAAATTTGCTCATAAGATTCTAGATGACCCTCTTCATCCACTACACCCTGATCTACCGTCTTGTTGTTCCCATCCGTCCACATTCTCCTCATTTCGACATCTACCCTCTCGCATTAACATTTATAAAAACTCTCCTGTACCCTATCTGGCCCGACTACTTATCAAAAAGGAACAGGTCTCAAATGAACTATGTCAAAAGTTTTGTACATGAAACAAATTTCACCTACATTCTTTACCTTTCGTTATTATTATTATTAATTCATTCTGCGTGACGAACAGTGTACATTTTTAACTGAAATGAAAGCTTACACAAGTTATGTTTCAGTTCTGCGTAAGCTGCTCGAGCCTTGGGGATGCGGGCAGTTATCTCTTTTGCTGCGCTACCGTCATTGGTCACGCAACTACCAAGTACGAACAGTAATCCATCATAACTAACTCCTAGCCATTTAGTTTCACTTTGCACTTTGAGGGTGAGAAGCACATACCGAATGTGGCAACAGCACTTGATAGTCTGTCATGAGCACTTTGAGCATTCTCCTCATATTCGAACAGACAGAGGATGTAATCGACGTACTCTAAATCACACAGCGTTTCTCTAGCGGCCAATTCAATACCTACATTTTGGAGACCGCTTAGTATGTTCTCCTGATTATTATTATTATTATTTCATTCCGCGTGATGAACACATTTTTAACTAATAAGTAAGCACATACGCTTACACAAGTTACACAAATACAAATGCAAACAGCCGGTCTTCGTGACTATGGGGTCCGCCCCGACTGCTGCTCATCACACACTGGTGTGAAATTAAAAAAATCATTGGAGTTCCCTTCATTTTACTTCGCTGTACAATGATGATGATAGTTGTTACATCGACAGATTTAAGTGGGATGTCAAACTGAGATTGCAAGTACTTAGCTCAGCATACTAGAGTGTCTGCAGCGCTGATTGTTTTGTGATTAAAGTAAAGGCACCTCCAAAAGCCTCAGTATGGTCCGGGGTGGGTGGCTTGGTTTGTGATTGTTCGCCCCACCCTTGTACCTCGCAAAATGCTCCCATACGACCAAGCACTTTAACTAGCCTCACTGCATTCCCGTGGGGGAGGTGTTTTACCACCAAAGTGAGAGGACGAAAACCCAATATCCGGGTCGATGAACCACTGGCACTTCACCTAGATGAGTTGGCTAGAAACCCTGATTCCAAACCAACCCATGGGAGGCGTACGAACCATAAATACCTATCCGTTCCTGGTTGTGACAGTGGTCATCATTGGGCGTCGAGGTATATTGGGCACCTTTGACGTTTGCCCCCGTCCAATGACCATATCGTCCGATGTACTGGACACTGGTCCCCAGTGGATTGCGGTTTTCACACCGCCCCGCTGGCTTGCGGGTTAGGCTTTGGCTAGCCGAAGGCTCCGGTTGTGGATTCCTCAAGAAAATTCACCGGCCTTGGCTTGGGCAACCTGGCAGTATTCATCCCACATGCAAATCATGGAACGCTTTTATTCTATAAAGATTGTTGCACCATGATTTGTTTCTCATACAGTCTGGATTCAGACGTGTGTGAAATATAATAAATAATGACGGATTTCAACTATGACACTACTCGCGAACTGCTTAGATGTTAACTCATCAAGGGCTTGAGGAGTGACCGTAAAAAGTTGTGGATGACAAATACAAGGAGATGAGTAAGATTCCATCCATTGGTAACAATTGCCGTCTTTTCCCTTTAGTCAGGAATTCTTGTCCGCAAAAAAGGACGTAATGAAAATGCCCATAAAGTTATACATTACATTGATTCTCATTCAGCAACGCCCGCTAGAACGATGGGCTGAGATACAGTTTTACTGGTTTCCATTGGGACATTAGATTTACCAAGTTCTGCCTCGAATGTACTACCCAACAGTTGACACTAGTCCTCCGTCTGAAATGGACTATATTCGGAAGATAAATTACGTCAAAAGGTGTGAGGCCTCTGAACTGAATGGATTACGTCCATCCGCTCTTAAGGTTAACCTCAGCGTTGAAATTGACAGAATTCTGAACTCGGTCTGAGAATTGGAATTTGGTGGCTTATCCTACCGATTTACCAACAGCTCCGAATCCATTAAACCTAATGAATTTTTTGTTTGATTCTGTATCATTTTGATGTGATTTCAAAATCACTCTAATTACACGCAATTCACACCTTTGGAGATCCCTTTGTTGGTTGTTCATCGATGTGGCTGCCCTTGATTAATTTTAACCCAGATCATCAAGAAATTATATATATCACCCAGACCGTTTGCCAAAAAAGTCAGGGTACAATAATCTTTATAAAAAGAAAAAAATTCCACGAGTTGCATGTGGTCCGAATACTGCCAGGTTACCCGGGCCAAAGCAGGTGAAGTTTCTTGAGGAATCCACAACGGAAGCCTTTGGTTAGCCAAAGCCTGACCCGCAAGACAGCGGGGCGGTGTGTAAGCCGCCATCCATTGGGAGCCGGTGTCCACTTCATGGGATCATACGCCCTTCGAACGGGGTCAATCGTCCAAGGTGCCCAATACACCGGTACACCGATGATCACTGCCACAACCGGGAAGGTGTGTGGTTCGTAAGCCTCTTATTTGGTTTGGAGTCAAGGCTTTTGGCCAACTCTCCAGTGGTCCACCCACCCGGATGTTGGCTATTCATCCTCTCATTTTGGTGTTAAAACACTGCCACGAGAAGACAGTGGGTAGGGAGGGTTTCTTCAGCGAGACTATTTGAGACGCTGGAAGAATTTCCACTGCAACCATATTGAAGAACGCCCAATTGGGACTCCTCAAATGGGGCGAATTTTTGAAAATGTATACGGGGAATAGTTTTACAACCGCTTTCTATAGTAGTGGTCAGTGATTTTCAGGGTAGTGCACCGTGTCATGTTCCGCACTAGGCTTGTTAGTTTTCAACTTAAAAAGCAATAGCTTAACACTTATCCATTGGTAAACCCTTCAGACCAAAGAGAATTTTAAGACAGAAATCACACATTTGTCGCTCGATCTCCGTGATTGGAAATTTGTGTTTTTCTCAAAGTCTGAGAAAACCTACTCGTCCAGTTTCATGTTGCGTGCCATAGTCAGAATCTGAGTAGGAAGCCGCACATCCAAACTTAACACATCAAACTTAACGGACATTGCTAAAAAGCTGACGGCGTGCATACTGCAAAATAATGAGTAGTATATGAATAACTGAAGAAAATTTCTCAGATGCCGGGAGTACAAAGTATAATAGCGATTTGAGAAAGGGAGTTACCTGATGCACATACCTAATGGGTGATAAGCACCACAAAAAGTGTGCACTTGTGGGAAATTTCGTCCAGTTGTTCATTTGCTTCTTACCACGAGTATTGTTGAGACCCAAAGGATCAGATAGCTGTGGATATGTCCCTAGAATACCTTATTTGATTTGCCACCTTACGTTTCTCGCGATAAATTCCAGTGCAAAGAAGTTTGTTCCTATTTAAGGAATGAGTTCTGTACAAGAAATCTATATGGGCGTAACAATGGCAAACTGCATCCAAACGGACCAGTGACGCGCACTGAAATTATTACTTGCTCAATACGGTTTTTAAAAGTCGGCAACCTAGGCACTGGTAGGATTTAATGTGATGCGTTTTCTTACTTGCTGTTATGTCCCATCGAAATCTCAAATGATTTTTCGATTATTTGTCCTACCCTGAAAGGATCGTGCTAACCTGCTATTCAGGCAAGTGCATGAGACCAAGAACCTTCGCGGTCGGAGCAACGACGCCGTCTCCACAGCCTGCCTCTATATGGCCTGTCGACAAGAGGGTGTTCCACGGACGTTCAAAGGTGAGCCCCTCCCCCGAGGTTGCCTTAGTTCCGTGAACTGTTTTGAATGGCGTGCGAGAGAGTGCGTTTGCAGACTAGTTTTCAGGTCCGGTGTACCTTGTTCCTGATGTGGTGTGTTTATCTGTCTCCTAGCTAATGATCTGAAACTCACTATGGATTCATTTTGTCCGCACTTTCTTGTGTCACAGTAGCTGTGACATATCGTATCAGCAAATAAGCTGTGTTCTAGCCCTTGTAGCACTGTGAACGTTATGCAAGTTTGTTTGTGGATTCGCCTGACCGCCAAGAATCATTATGCAGCGTAAAGAGCACTGATCTGATAGTTATTTACAGCAAACTACGGTGACCGGTCATATTATTCCGTGCAATTACCATAAGTATTCTGCTATCGGAGCAGCTAAAAGTCTGATGATACTGAGGTGAAGAAAAAACCGTTAACTTCTCCCTCGCCCGTCCGGCCGGCGCGATGTGTTACCGCGCTTCGTCTTGTATGGCTTTGAGTTCCACAGACATGGTTTGAGTTCAGAAAACTGCTTATAACTTTCTAGTAGTGCAATCGAGTTCAATGTGCTCAATCTTAACAGAGACATGCAGCTAGATAACTCGCCATATCTCCTGAGATGTGTTCTGTTGATAGGACAACCAAAGCGGTCACCTTATTATTACCAATCCGGGATCGGTTGCACAGTGAACATGCACATCCAGCAGTTTGGGAAGTACGCTAAACACTCCGTTGGTGATTTGCGATGTTTGCAGAGCGAATCACTCTGGTGGAGTCGTTGATTTTATTCTCTCATTTTCACGCAGTCGAATGTGGATACTTGTGCTCTTTATTGTCTACTGATTGCATTTTTCGAAGTATGATAACTTAACAAATGCGCATTCATTCTGAACTAAAGCGAATGATGCAGGAGGCAGCAATACCACTCCGGGTACACGCCATACATTTCGTGTTTATGTACGTGTGGCTAACTATGACGGTTCTCCACGCTTCTCCTTTCTCAAATGCCATTTTACCATGATATGGGTGCTACTGTAAGTTTCCGCGTACTGGTAATCATAACACCCTCCTGCAATGTTTGATATTTTCCTCCTTATCAAAACCTTCGCATTGCAGAGGTTTGCGGTGTTTCCCGGGTCTCGAAGAAAGAGATTGGTAAAGTTTTCAAAAAGATTCTCAAAATTCTGGAGACTAACGTACAATCGGTCACCGTGGAAGACTTCATGTCTCGTTTCTGTGGTAATCTGAACTTGAATATCGCAGTTCAGCGTGTCGCGAACGAAGTCGCTAAACGAGCCCTGAATTTCAATCTGGTTGCTGGTCGAAGTCCGGTGTCGGTGGCTGCAGCCGCGATCTACATGGCTGCCTACGCATTGGGTTATCGAAAAGAGAAGCGAGGTTAGTACATAGTGCAATTATTATTTGCCAGGTAATTTGGTCACACTACCACAATGTTGTTAACTAGCCACCCGATTTATCGTAAAGAACCAACTATTTTTTAATCGAAATTAAGTGAACCACACTAGCTTTCACCTACCCGAAGTTTATTTGAGATATTTTGTTTTTAAGGCGATTTCTATCATTGATACCCCGTTATGTACAATTACGGTCGAAGAACTGGCTCGTTATTTTTGACATGTAGTAAAATCAAGAGAATTTGTGGACAACATCTCATTGTTGGGCATACTCAGGATGAAGACTACCCGAGGTGGCCGAAGCGTTAAGCAATGCATAACTTCTGTTAAACAACGTGTTACTCAAAAGCATTTTGTGATTCATATTACTTTCTAAGTTGTTTGCTAAGGTTGACTCTGACAAATTATTTGTCACATCCGAAGCCATCCGCAGTCCCAGTTCTATAAGTCAAGTCTTGAGTACACCGTATGTGCAGGAATTCAGTTCGTGGGTCAACACACAACTCGTAGTTTTCCAATAGATTGCGCATTACCACATAGACAGTTGATTTCGCGACCCGCCTACCATCACCGGAAGTCTAATTCGCAAGTGTCGGCAACTGCGAAATGAATGACCGAAATTAAGATCTAGTACTTTCTTTCTTTTCATTTTACTTACTTTTATTGAATGTACAAAGATGCGATTTTCAGGAAAGAGGAAGCGACCAATCAACACAATGTGGGAAGTCAGTCGATGGTGGTGGGATTCG